TAGGAGCAGAGGTGTTGGGATTCCGGAGAGGATCCTTTAAAGTAATCAGATTGACCTCCAGCAAGCGTTTCAGTATGAGAGATGATGGTATATCAGTCTCAGAGAAATGTCTTCCAGACGTATTTCGCTTACGACGATTACCCTGTTGATGCTGGCGAGGTTGATGCTGGGCTTGTGACCCTGAAGCAAGCTGAGGAGCTTTTCCCTTGTCTTCTTGCCCCAAAGGTGGTTGAATGATGACTTGATCTTCAACCCTAGTTGTTTGCCCCACTTGGTTATTTTGAAGCAGCTTGTTAACGAGGACCCTGAGCTCTTCTTGTCTTTGAGCTAAGTCTTGAATGAGAGCCATCTGGCCCATCAGCTGTCCCATCATCTGGATCTTCATTGTTGCCAATTCAATTTGTAGCCCTTCCAACTGATCATTTCTGATGCCCCCTGGATTCCCTAGGACCAAGCCCCTTGTGAGGAGAGCTTTTATTTCCTCTTGCCCCTGGGATAGGTTCAAGAACATTTCTTGAAGTTGGGCGTTTTGAGCCCGAAGATCTTGGTTGTTTGGTTGGAAAGCCATTGCTGAAATAAACAGCGAGAACATGAGAGACCTGTACTGGGAGACCTGTTATGCAATGATATGTATGATATATGTATGCAATATTTTCAAGGATCTCGCGGGGTAAATAAGAAACTTGTTAGAATCTGAATCTGGTAGCTTGATTGAAGGAACTTCATGTTGCTGAGAGTCCTTCCTCAAGAGTCAAGCTCACCATATCGAGTGGGTCATAGCCCCTGACTCAAGTTATTATGTTTTGATATCTAGACGACATTGGCTAGAGGAAAATAAATCCCCTTTGCCCCTTGCTAGCCATCTGCATCACAGACCCTTGAGATCCTTGAAATGGTTAAGGAAATGTTAAGGCATGATGTTATGATGTGTATGCTATGCGTTTAAGCAAAAGTGTGAGGTGATGTAAGTAAGCCCTGCAATAAATCCAGATTATTGGATAAGGACTGTAAACAAAACCTGCAAGGAAACCATGTTGTCAGATAACAAGAATGTGCAAGTAGTTCAAGTTTGAAGGCACACAAGTCACACAAATAGCCTTAAGTTTAGGCTGGCATGGAGTTTCATAGGTAAGTACCCTCTTGAGTGTAGTTGGCTCAAAACCTGTCCTATAAATAGTAACCGGGTTCTAAGGAGCTCAATATCATTGGATTGTTTTCTATGTTCATTGTTTTGGTTTAGCCACTGAACTAGCGACCAAAATATTCCAAGAAGACAATCCTCAATGAGTGTAGTATCGAGTATCTACCAACTTCGGACTGCACCAAAGTCGGTCATCTCACTACCCCTAAAAAAGGCCAAGATGGTCAAGTAAGGTTCTAGGTCATTAGTGCTTAGTGATATCACTCAGCGGCCCCGTATTCTCTTTGATTGACTCAAAGGCTACCGGTACTCACAAATATGTCACACTAATATAGCTATTACTTCAACCGTGTCGGTATACCCCGCACAGTTTCCACAACGTATTGCTATCTATGAATGTTTCCCAAATCCGGGTGGAGGATTTATAGAACTTCGATACAAGTCCACAAAATTAAAAGCATACAAAGCAATACAATTGAAAACACAAGTGATCTAGTCCTAAGGTACACCTCACTTATTCAGTCCCCAGCAGAGTCGCCAGTTCTGTGATCGGTGGGAATGAGAACTGACTGTTTTTGGAATGCTGGTTCGCGTTTGCGTTTGTTTTTGCAAAATGTCGTGGTAAGCAAGAGTCGCCACCATCTTTTATTTTATCCAACAAGGAAAGGACAAAAGCACAGAAAAATTCCTTTTTCGAGATTGTTTCTCGGGTTCGGGAGGTAGATTATAGAAAGGGAAGGTGTTAGCACTCTTTCTATCCGTGGTTATCCACGGGCTCTTAGGTACTTGCTCACTATGTTTTCAAAAGTTTGCTTTTCTTTGTGTTTGTGGGTTTTGAAAAGATTTTTTGTTTGAAACTTCGATTTAACTCTTGCTTCTGTCCTCAAGAGTGTAATGAAGTGTTTTGAAAACTTTGTTCGAAAAGTGTAAGTGTGAAAAGTTTTGTTTTGTTTTTAAGATGAGCAAGTACTTAAGAACCTCTACCTACTCAAAAAGGAATTAAACTGTGCAAATGTCCTTTAGACAGTGCTATCCCACTATTGAAGAGTAGGTAGCACCGTCGTTGGAGTTTTTGGGTCAATTCGGTTTAAGGGACTTGTGGTCACTAAAGCAATGTTTAGGACGCCTTAGCGGTAACCCTAATGTCTTAGATCAATTTTATCGAGGCAACCGTTTCGAGGCAACTTTGATCTTTAGACAGGAGGGCGACCTCTAAGACTTCCTATACTCAATGACCACGTTCGAGGCAACCAAGTGAGGTGTACCCTAGGAGTGGCATGTGCAAGTGTGTCAATTTTCAATTTATATCATCTTTGTACATGTTATGGTGAGCTACGGTTGATTTAAAGGTTAATCTTGTCATGCAATCCTAGTTAGCATACATCTAAACAGTTAATATATGTACAGGAATTTAAAGTGCGGGAATTGTAAATCCTACGCTATTACAAGGCTTCGGGGAGGGGATTATTTACATGTCCAAAAATTGGGGAAATAAAAGCAGTAAAGTAAAAGTCTTAATTTAAGCTACCACAAACCAGTAAGCAGTTACAATAAAATAAACGCGCGTGAATCTAAAAAATCCTAAGAATAAGAACTCTTTTTTTGGGAAAATGCTAAATGTTCAATTAAGTCAAATTTAATTAATTAAAAAAAACTGATCAAAATTAACTCTAAAACAAACCTAATATTTTTTTCATTTTTTGGTTTATGAAAAGGGTTGAATTTAAATAAATCCTAAGTCTACTGATTTTAAAATTGGAGAAAATAAGTTAAAATAATTAACTAAATTAAATCCTAATTCTAAGTTATTTATTTTTATGATTTTTATGTTGATTAAAAAAACAAACTAAAAGAAATAAACAAAAACAAAGTAAACAAAGTACAAATGGGCCAGGCAGCAAAACAAGAAAAAATATAATTCTGGAGGTCTGGGTCGAAAGAGGTGCAGGCTGTCTTTCGACCCAGTGAAGAGTCTTGATCGAAGGTGCATGAGGGGCTGCACTCTGAGGGTATTCGATCTGGACATGTCATCCTTCGATCTGGAAGTCCTGGGTCCAGTTCGAAGCTAAGCTGCTGAGCTTCGAAACTCTGAACAGGATCCTGAGAATATATTTCCTGCAAAAACGAAACACACGTTAAAGGTCCAGGGGGGATTTTACCCCCCTGGTTCGAATCTCCCCCCTTTATTCGCGCCTGCTGAATCTGGGTCTGGGTTTGTTTTATCCTGGGATTCGAAGGAGAAACTCAGATTGTGCCCAAGCAATGGCATAATCTCATCTCTGCGCTGTAGCTTATATGTAGCACATTAAATCATTCACAAACAACAGTAATAATATGAATATGCAATCAAAATGAATTTAAAAATGAGTTTGAGATTAGATTTTTTTTACCAAACAGAGGTGCTTTGATCTGTAGTTCTGAGGGTGGAGGTGTTCGCTGGGTGGCAACTTTGGCTTGTGCAAGGATTGGGTATGGCTTCCTGGAAGTGCTGATGACTTTTGGCAGCGTATCTCCAAGTTCTCTATTTTTCTGTATATTTTTGTGTGTCTTTGCAACATTTGTGATTTCTTTATATAGAGGGGGTGGAGGGGACAGGAAGACAAAGGTTTAAATGACTTTGATTATGTGTTTGACAGCCATGAATGAGAATTTGTAACGTTGATTATGTGTTTGAAAGCCATGAATGAGAGTTTGTAACGTTGGCTAAACACATGGGATCTTGTCCCTTTTTGAATTTTGAATGATATGTAACTGGCCTTCAAATGCTCCCTTTCGAATGGGCTGATGACCTCCTTCGAATGCTCCCTTTCGAATGGGCTGATGGCCTCCTTCGAATGCTTTCCAAAGCTTCTTCGAATGGACCCTTTGAATGCTTCTTCGAATGGACCTTTTTGGAATTCCAATCGAAGGACACTGTTATAATGCCAATCGAAGTACTTGTCCATAATGCCAATTGAAAGGCTCCTTCAGAATACCAATCGAAGGGTCTTTCAGAATACCAATCGAAAGCCTTGACATAATGCCAATCGAAATGCTTGTCCATAATGCCAATCGAAAGGCTCCTTCAGAATACCAATCGAAGGGTCTTTCAGAATACCAATCGAAAGCCTTGACATAACGCCAATCGAAATGCTTGTCCATAATGCCAATCGAAGAGCTTGACAGAATGCCAATCGAAAGGCTCCTTCAGAACACCAATCGAATGGTCTTTCAGAATGCCAATCGAAATGTACTTAAAGCACCTACTCAAAAATTTTCCCTTTCCTTAGGCAAGAGTTTGTGATCAACCATGCAAGGGGAAGACTTTGGGAAACATGAGAGGGCAAATTTTGGGGTACAACACTACCAAAAAGCAAGAGAATTCCTCATTCTAAAAGAAGGCATTTCTCGTGATTTTGAAAGCAAAGTTCTTTTATGCAAGAGGCGATTTCAACTTCATTCAATTTTCAAGACATTATTCAAGGTTTGATTCAAGTCTCATTCAATTATGCTTGAATTATGCAAGATTCCTTCAAGGTTCTTTTCAAAAGTGGTGCATTGTATTGATTCAAGATTCAAAATTTCCAGTTCACTTTGCAAGTCAAAATTCAATTAAGAGTTTCCAACATCCATGTCAAGTTCAAAACTTTAAGTGTCATTCAAGTTTGTAAGACAAAATGAAAAGATTCAAATTCCAACAATTCAAAGGTTTTCATTCATGATTCATACGGTTGAAGGAGAATGATTCTCAAGTCAATTTTTCATTAATGTTGATTACAAAAATATCATATGTTATATTACAAGATTACATGAGTTTTCTTAAAAGCCTAAATTTCAAGTTTCAAGTCTAAATCTTCAAGCCAATCTTTCTTGCCTCATAATGCATCAAGCCCCACGGTGCTATAGATTCTCAACAGGTCATAAGTCATTTTCCTTCCTCAGTCAGCTCATCTGGATACAAAAGAAGCAACTTGCTGCTGCCCAGATTCATATTGCTATGCATATGCGTAAAACCATATCAGTTTCGCTACAAAAAATTGAAAGTATTTCAAAACGGTTCAGGTTGCCAAAACTAAAAATAAAATAAAAGGAGATGTGGTCACCAAACAGAACTTCTAACAGCATGACAATTCTTAATGTTAGCAGAAGTTTCAGAGCTAACTTTTTTTCTAACCAATTCCAAGTTGAATCTAGTTCATTGAAAATGATTCTCAAGTCCACAGTTATCTTCATCCTTGCCATCATCTTCAAACCAAAAACCATTAGAATTTTGTACAACTTTTGTTTACAGAAGTCAGAACATGAATCTTAGCCCAAACTAACTAATAATTCCGCAAAGAAATCTCAGCGTGCATAACTAATGGCCAGTAGCATAATAGAAAAAGAAAGAAGAGGCAAGCTCGTAATAGAAATTACCTCTCATATTAGGATTGGATCTTCACTGTTAAGTGGTGTAACAAACTTTTGATACAAAGAATCTTGTGCATTGATCTGTAATAAACTCAATGAGGATCCACTTGCTAAGAGTTTTTTCACTTCAACCTATGTAACAGAATTGTAACAGAATCAACAAAGGGGAATCAGAACAGAATAAAAAAAGTAGATTGATAACAGAATGGGGGGGAATATAGCATAACCGATTTCTAATTGAATGGCCAATTTCCTAACAAATTCTCTCACAGATCCAGAGGACCACATAACAGAATTCACGAGAGAATTGAGAAGAGAGGCGGGCGGGTTTTTCTCTTCCTTCAACCATCATTTTCTTCACAATCTTCCTTGAATCTTCACCTCATTCTTGAACATCCAGAACCATCCTTCAAGTTCACCCTTTTCTTTTCTGAAATTCCCTCTTCTTCAACCGTGAATCCTCTCTTTCCCTCTGAGCACTCTATTACCATAATCGTTCTTCACCGCAACCTTTACCTTCGTTGCTGCCACAACCTTCATCAGCTTCGATCTTCAATTCCTGCACTCCTCCATCATCAATCATCTTCTACAATACCAGGCATCTTCATCATCACCTTTGAGTGTATCTTCCTCATTCTTCATCACTGTAGATCAAATTCACGCACACATCGCAAAATGACAACACATGCTCGACAATACAAGAAGAACGCAGAAGAAGAGAGGAAGAGGGATCAAGAACGAGTGCATACCTGGCTCATTTTGGGATTTCTGATTCTCTATCGTGTTCGAAGCGCCGACATAGCGTCCTCGATAGGTAAATCATTCTTTCTCAGTTTTCAATCCTTGCTTCTTTGTTCTTGCTGGATTTGTTGAGAGGTTGCACTATACGAGCCTGTGATTCGATCCTACATGTCGTAACAGTTTGAGATAGCGTTGCCTCGTGTTAGCTTTTGGTTTTATCATGCGGTGAAGGTGGTGATTCACAAAGGAGAAGGGTGTATTTTAGGATGGAGAGATGAGAGATTGAGAGCGGCATAGTGGAGTTGAGAAGCGGCGGGTGTCCGTTGTTCATGTCACTGCCATTCGAGGGAGAAGATAAGTCCGTCATCGGTTGAGAAGGACAGAAAGATGAAAAAAGGGATTCGGCGCCGCTGGAGAAGACGAAGGAGGAAATCTCAGAAGTCCAACCGTCAATTTCCCTTTACCCTAATCCTTTTTCCATTTTTTTCTTCTTTTATTTGTTTGTTATTTTTTTTATTCTGTTAAATCCAAGGGATATATGATAATAATAGAAAAAAAGGGATGAGACAATAGCCTAAATGTGAATTAGACTTGGAATAATTGGATGATGCTGGTAGATTTGGATCAGAACATTACACTCTAAGCCCCAAAAAAAAAACTTCTAACACTAGTGATTGTAAACAAAAACTTGTTGGGCTCATTGTAGAATTAGGCTTAGGAATGCTGATTTACACCTCGATTCCAGTTTAGCACCCCCTGGGTCTTTCTAATTCATCATTCTTTTAAATTTTGTTTATTTAGTTTAGTTTAATTTTCTTTTTTTTCCTTATATAATAAAAATAGTAAATAAAATACATACGGTAAAAACAATAAAAATACGTATAATTTAGGAATTTCTCTTAATTTTTTAGATAATAAACTACAAAAATAAATAAAATTTTTAGGCCTTTTTTGTAGAAATTAATTCCTAATCTTGCGATTACTTGAAACTTGTGATTTATCTTTGCTTGTTGAGCTGAGTCTTATGCAGGTTCATTATTTGATATGCGGATGTGTTTTGGATTCCGATTGTGATTTATTTTCACATCGATGAAGTTTCGACACCTATTCCAAATATTCAATCTCTGACTGTTTATTTGTTAATGTCAGCTCGCGTGAAGTATCTCAGGTTTCTTTACTTTGGTTGCGCTTTTTGCGAACATTACTGTTCGTTTGGTATTATACTACTTCCAAGTAATATTTCCACATTTATCGCTTTTCTAGATATCATGAGAAGTAGGAAATAAAGAGCGTGCGCTCGAAGTCGCTGTTTAAAGAACTGTAGCAGGCATTCCGCCTTTCATTTCTTATGTATGTTATGCTTGTGTTTGTTTCCTTTCTTATTGATCGATGAGTCACTCAATTTAGAAATTGAGATCACGACTTCGCTCTCAGGGCATGATCCCTATAGGGTTTTATCGCTTTCCTTTATTTCTTTCTGATCGATGAGTCACTCAATTTAGAAATTGAGATCACGACTTCGCTCTCAGTGCATGTTCCCTATAGGGTAGTATGTTAGACTTTCTTTGGCATGCTGACTTAGATAGGATCCCTCATTGTATGATAACATTAGGTTAGAGATAGGTTAGTCTCCCTGAGATGTTTTCTTCCCATTTTTGCATAATTGCATTTAAAACTGAAACTTCTTTTTCTTGGCAAATGTATAAAAAATGCTAAGCATACAAAAATTCTTTTCATGGTAAAAAAAATACCAACCAATCCATTTCTTTTCGCCATTCGGCTTTTCTCTTATAAGAGAATGTTATCTCCTTTCCACTACAGGTCATAAGTCTCCAAAGGTCGAGCAGCGGTGGAATGATTGAATGCAACATTGTTCATTTAAAAAATACAAACAAACAAAATATATGATCCGAACTACGACGCTCTGATTCCTTAAAGGGGATACGTAGGCATCTGGTCACGGGGCTTAGCCGAGCGAAAATTGTAAATACTTCCTTCTTTTCCCCGTGTTTTCTTTGAATGCATTCCCTCTTAGTTTATAACTCTTAAGCATTAGATTGAACACACCCTTTGATTAGAGTAACGAGAGTGGATCCCGTAGAGTACTATGGACGTGTGGGGTGCTAATACCTTCCCTTCGCGTAATCGACTCCCTTACCCAATCTCTCGCTCGCAAGACCTTGATTTCCCCCTTTAGGTTTTTCTTCAATGATTTTCCTTTCCCTTTTATGGGATAAATAAATACTCTGTGGCGACTTCATTGATTTTACCGCTACAATAATAAATAAAAAATAGGGCGCTACAATTCCTCGAAAACATGAAAAATGTTGCAAAAATGACTGCCTTCACGAATAAACTTTCAGTATCTGAACCTTCACCAAAATGTCATTCCAGACTCAATTGGAATTCAAAATGCACAATTAACTGAGTATAGGGATGAAGAACATCATGAAGAATGGGCGGGTACAAATAAACTTTGAGCCTTATCCTTTGTTTCTTAAAACGGTGAACCAGGACACGTTACAACCCCTAAAAAAATTCTAATTGAAGCATGGGTTGGTTCGAAAGCATATTGTTACAAAAGGTATCCCGACTCCTGTAAGGCTTACTATAAATCCTGAGTTGAATTCATATTCTTACAAAACTCTTTTATTTGTTAAAACTTCATTTTCAAAACTTCAAGACAAACATAAACTTTGCATTGTTTGAATACTGCTGTTTGCATATAGCTAATTGTTTGACAACAGATAAATTCGCACGTCGAATATCCAATGAACGGAAATTCTCTCAGGAAACAGAATCACTTAAAATGGGAAGACACTTCTAATGACAAATATCCCATAATCCAAAGGGGCGTGACATGTTATTGTCCAACTCATCAGTGGTAGTCAAGTCAAAATTCCAAGAAATATCTCATAAAGTCCTGAATAGCTAGGGGCAGGTCTGCATCTGAATCACTTGGGGCATGGAACATGAATTCCACCAAAGGGTCACGTACGACCAAGCACACATTTTCTGGCAGCACTATGAATAGTGACAAATCCCCAAAGTCCCTTTCATAAGGTGATCCCCGGTGAAATCACCAAAGCCACCTCTATAAGGTTATTCCCACATAATAATATTCACGGATAAAGATGCAAACCCCACAAGGCTAAATTCATGGATATCCCCATAAAGTTGGATCCATGCAATCCCCATCCAGAGTTTCAATCTCTGGAAAACCTCTCCCCAACAGATTTGGTCTTAAGAAGAATCCTTTAGGAGTTCTTCCAAAGAGACACCTCCCTAACAGATTGTCATATATTCTTGTCAACAGGGTTTATTTCCCCAACAAACTACAGATTCCCCAACTTAAGTTTGCCTTTCAGACTATTACAAATTAAGGGACCACAACCCCTAATCCCCAGTGAAGTCATCAACAAAGTTAGTGTTATCTCCGAAAGTTGCTAGGAAGCCTGGACCCGACCAGAAAATAGTTCAACGTCATCCTACTCTCAACTTACTGCGAAACCTGGACCCGACCAGATAATAGTAAATCTCAATTCTTAGTTACTGCAAAGCCTGGACTCGGCCAGATAGTAGTTTAAAAGCTCATCTTCCCCAATAGAGTCTGTCACTATCCCCAGTGACTTGCTGTAAAGCCTGGGATCTGACCAGATAACAGTTAACTTCCTTATCCCCAGCAAGTTGGTGTGAAACCTGGAATCCGACCAGATAACAAACTAACTTTCAAGAGGTAATTCCCCACTAGGGTAATAGACGACTAGAACTCCTGAACTCTTTCCCTCAAGAAGAAATTAACACTCTCCATGGAGTTTCCTTCAAGCAAAGTAAACATTCCCCAGCGGAGTTCTCCTCAAACAACATAATAGGAATCCCCAGCGGAAACATTCTAAAACAAGGTCTGAAGAGGTGCATACTCTTCATCTCCAGCAGCAGTCTGAGATTTAATTTCCCAAGGCTCACCTGCATTTGTCAAGGATTTATTTTCCCAGAAAAAGATACACTTCAATAACATTTCACATTTCATACATCATAGCATATGCATACGAAGTGCATATAGCACAACCTCATTTTTGAGAGCATTATTATGCAATGCATTCCATACCTCATGACATTGCATATAGTTAACTCTTTACCTAAACAAATAATTATCATCAACAATTTTCAACAGGTCCAAGAGTAGTTCCTGAAACAAGACAGAACAATTACCTACGTGACCAGATGCAGCTTCACACGGGCTCATCCTGAAGCAATCTTACACGGGTTCCTTCTAAATTCCAGATGCAGCTTCACACGGGCTCATCATAAAGCAATTTTACACGGGTTCCTTCTAATTTCCAGATGTAGTTTCACACGGACTCATCCCGAAGCAATCTTACACAGATTCCTTCTCATACATTTCCAGATGCAGTTTCACACAGACTCATCCCGAAGCAATCTTACACATATTCCTTCTCATACATTTCCAGATGCAGTTTCACACTGACTCATCCAGAAGCAATCTTACACAGATTCCTTCTCATACATTTTCAGATGGAGTTTCACACGGACTCATCCCGAAGCAGCCATACACTGACTCCTTCTCATGAATTGCCAAATGCAGTTTCACACGGACTCGTCTCAAAAGTATCCCTACCCAAGCTCCTTCTCATATATTTCTAGATGCAGTTTCACACGGACTCATCTCTAAGCAGCCCTACCCAGGATCCTCCTCATATTTCCAGATGAAGTTTCACACGGACTCATCCCAAAGAAGCCCCACCCAGGCTCTTTCTCACAGATCTCCAAATGCAGTTTCAAACGGACTCATCCTAAAACAGGACGGGGAAACTATCTTTCTTTCTCAAAGGTTAGAGATTAATTCCTGAAACAAGCCAGGGCAACTATCTCTACGACCAACAAAAAACAAGTTCCAGATTAATAGCTGAAATAAGACAAGACAACTATCTGTGAACAATTCATTGTAGATTAATACCTGAAACAAGACATGATAACTATCTACATGAGCATATTGAAGATTAACTCCCGAAACATGATAGGGAAACTATCTTTCTTTCTTTTTGGTTAGGTAAAGATCAATTCTCGAAACAGAACGAGGCGACTATCTTTATCACCAATGGCAGTCCCAT